TATATATATATATATTTTATAATGTATATATATATAATGTAAATACATATATATCTCCATACACTTGATAAATACGAGACCCACATACATATATATATGAGTTAATAAGCATGACAGGCATGGTCCCTAGGCTCTAATGAATGGAAAGCAGTAGTTATGCCCACCGTACACCAATACGCTTCTCCTGCAGAATGCAAATATTAAACACATTACTATTATTTGTATGATGCGTTCATGATTCTAAATAAAGTGTGCTGGTGTATTTACTTGCATCTCCCTTACATATGGGAGAGATGCACGGGGGAGAGCCCCCAACGAAACACCTCAGCAGCCGTCCATATTTTGTTCTTATTCTCAGGAAACAAAACAAGTTATTTAAAAGACAACAGTTTGTTTGAGTAAAGTGAGCTAAACTAAACACTTGGGGTGTACACACAACTGCCCAGTGGCTCCCTACTCAACGCAAGCTGAATGCACAGACGAACAGCAAGAGAAAACCCCTTGACCTTAGAAAAAGAAGGTGAAAACGCCTCCACGTATTATTATTTTGAAAGTATTTATTAAAACACATTTAACTGAACAAATTAATAGAAGCTTTCCCTTCATTTTCGTACATCTGCGCTGCGTGTGTGATCTTCTCAGCGGTGCGTAGGCGGCGCGCCGTGAGCCCGTATAAGGACGAAGATAACAAATGTAAGACTAAAAAATAAATTATTTGATATGTTTAATTTGTTTAATCCGTTTAGTCGAAGGCATTTGCCAAAAAGAGGTGCAGCCATTTGGCTCTTTTTCCTCTCGACGGTGGAAGCGGCTTCACGTCATCAGTCGTCGGTGGCGGTATAAATAGTATTAAGGGCGCTTTATTCTCTCGTTTCCAGCAATGATTCAGGGTTATTTATATATATTGATGCGTTAAATATTTGCATTTATATTTATTTGTATTCAGGGAATATTGCCTTCTTTAGCCAATACAACGTGCACGAGTCACTCGGCGAGCGGAGCTTCCCCCAGTCGGCCGCCCCTTTCCCCTCAATTTTTCACTTGAAGTTTCTTTTTTTCTTCATTTTATCAAAACGCAACTACAGAAAAGGAAATTTGTCTCCGTCTATTGCCGCAACTCCCGCTGCTGCTGCTGCTGCTGCTGCTGCATCATGTTACTTCGGCGGAGTGGAGCTCTCCGCCATCATGGCCCTGTACAGAAACTGGTGCTGTCGTCCTTAGGCCCATCTTACCCCTCTGCGTTTATTCAACAGAGTCTCCTGCAGGATTACGTTGCTGCAGGGAAGCGGCAAAGCAGCAGCAGCAGCATCAGCATTGTCCGCAGAAACGAGAGCTCTGGCTGGCAGCTTGTTGAGTGTCTGTCCACCATCTGCAAAACCCAAGGCAGGCGAGCGCTCCACCGCCTGGCGGTGTTACAGGAAGCAACTCCCCACGAGCCAAAAGTCAGCAGCAGCAGCAGCAGCTGCAGCAGCCGGTGCTGCAGTGGCGGCAGCAACAGAAGCAACAGCTATAGCTACAACGAGAACATCATATACAATCATTGCAGCAGCTGCTGCAGCATTAGCCACAGCGGGATCAGCAGAAACAGCTGTGGCGCCAGCACCAGCAGCAAGGATAGCAACAGCAGCAGCACCAGCAGCAGCAGCAGCAGGTGGCGCAGTGAAAACAACAGCAACAGAAACGGTGTCGGCAGCACTAGCAGCAGCACTAGCAGCAGCACTAGCAGCAGCAATAGCAGCAGCAATAGCAGCAGCAGCGGCAGCAGCAGCGCGGAACCTGCTCCTGTGCCTTCGTTGCCTCCTGCTGCTGCTCTTGATGGAGAAGGTCCTGCTTGTTTGTCTGCTTCTTCTCTTGCTGCAAATCGAATCTCTCCTCATTCTTTAGTTTGTTATTTAGACGAGTATATCGTGGGACAAACAAATGCTAAAAAAGCCCTCGCCGTCGCGCTGCGCCAGAGGTGGAGACGCAAACAGGTGAACTGTATATTTATTTTATTATTTTGTTTTATCATATTTTTAATCACATTTCATTAGGCTTTATTTTTTTCATTTTGTTTTTTTGCACTAAATGCACTCATTGAATTAAATGTATTAAACCTGTTGAATGCATTATGTGCAGTAAATATATTCAATGCATTAAATATATTGTTAAAATACGTCTTTTTAATGTTTGTTTACCGTTTAATAACAAACTGACTTTATTCAGATTAAAGACGCTGCATTAAGAGAAGATATTTGCCCTCGAAATATTCTCCTCATTGGGCCCACTGGAGTTGGAAAGACGGAAATCGCACGAAGACTGGCGGCCCTCCTCGATGCTCCCTTTATTAAAGTACGTTATTTCTTCCTTTCTTTCGTTTTTCTTTCTTTCTATGTTTCTTTGTTTGTTTCTTTGTTTCTTTCGTTGCTTGCCTGTTTGACTGTGTCTTTCTTTCTTTCGTTGCTTGTTTGTTTGACTGTGTCTTTCTTTCTTTAGTTTGTTGTTTGTTTGTTTGTTTGTATGCACGTTGGTTTGTTTGTGTTTGTCGCTCTTGCTCCTGCTGCAGTTGTTTGCTGCTGCTGATGCTGCTCTGCTGTTTTGTTGTTGCTGTTGCTGCTGCTGCCGCTGGGAA